AAACACCTGGACCCTAGTCCAGAGCAGAGCACAGGCCCAACCCCTAAGACCCGCTCCCGAGCGGCCACTACAGCTCAAGCGAGCGGAGGTGCCCCCCAGCTTCTCTCCAAGCGCCATTAATCTTTCTCCTGCTCAGACCTGGGTGAGAGAGTCTACTGGGTGGGCAAGGCAGGGCGCGGGCGCAGGGAGCTGTCCGCAGTTTGGTGCTGAAAGGTAGAGGCGCCCCTGCACGCCCAGGGTGCTATAACACAGGAAGTGAACTTTTTGTCTGAGAAGTCCCCAGGGTCCCGCGGCCAGGCTGCAGGGGACGCCGTGGAACTGGCCCGGAGGAGTTGTTGGGCCTCGCAGTACAATGGAGGGGGGGCCCTGCCCATCCACTTTCCACTCCCACCCTCCACCACCTCCGGGCCGTCACTGAGATCCTTGTCACTACCACACCGAATTCTAGGATGCCTTTTGAAAAATCATTAGGAGGCCAAGAATAATTACCTAACGGATTGTAATTATGGGGTGGGGGAGGCAGGGCAAAGGGAGGAGGGATGAGCAGGTGGAGACGAGCTAGCTCTTGTACTGGGACAGAAAATAGGTCCTTGTCTACCTCAGAGGGAAATGATGGGGGTGTAGAGAGTGGCAGAGAGTGGGACAGAGGCAGAGCCTGGAAAGGACACGCCAGTGGGGGCCAATGTCAGAAAGAAAACGGCTGAACAGGCTCTGGGGGTCGGGGGGGGGGAGAGAGAAAGTCTGGGAGATCCAATAGAGAGAAACACGGTTAACAGGGAGGTAGAAGAGCAAAGACCCGCTCTAGAAGAGACTCCGCAGAGACAGGCCCTCGAACTTGGGGGTAGTTTGTGAAGCCTCAGAGAATGTTAGCTGAGGAGAAAGGAAGGTTTTGTCCTGGCGCCCTCTTTCTGCGAGGGCTAGGCCTGGGAGGGAGATCCGCTCGCACCGCCAGGGGCTTTTCCCAGGATCCCTGAGATCGGAGAGACAAGAAAAGCGAGAGGGGAGACGGGGAGACGAACCTCAGAAAAGCCGGAATGCAGGAGAGGAGAGTGCCTATAACCCGGAGAGGGAGGGGAAACGAGGGGCGAGGGCGAGGGCTACCGGGTGCCGCTGGCCGCGGAAGATTTATGGTGCCGTCCGGGTTACAAGGACAGGCTGCGCTCGCTGCTCCTGCCTACGTCGGTAGCCGGTAGCCGCTGTGGCCGCTGCATACCCTGCCCGGGCGGCCAGCCGCGCCCCGGGCCATCCCTGCCATTATTAACTTGTGTTTGATTAGGGTAATTGTTCAAACTTGGGCCGGACAGTATGATTAATTACAGTTTAATTAACGTGTCCATTAAGGACACTTAATGCCACGGGGGGAAGGGGCAAGAGAAAGGGCGCCCGGTGTCTGCAAAGAGGGAGGGGGTGCGACTGGGTAACTCAGTGAGGTAGAGACGGAGATTGAGAGGGAAAACACGGGAACCCAAAGTGAGTAGTGAGGTAAAGACAGAAACCGTCAGAGATAGAGGGGTGGAGAGATGGAGCTTTGGAAAAAGAGAAGATGCCGAGGCCCGACTGCCAGCTTCAGGGGGGCTAGAGGAGACCACAGGGAAACTGAGTTAACAGGAGAGCTAGAGAGCAGTTCAACAGTCAGTTAGAGAGTAGTTGACCCCAGGAATCTCCCGGCGACGACTTGGTTCCTGTCCTAGACCCACTGGTGTTCGAATGGGGAGGCATTCAAGGCCCGGGGACCTCCCAAACCCAGCTCCCGTGTCCACTGCTCAGTGAAGGAGGCGGAAGGTCCCTCAATCCCAGGCGCTCCAGTGCCTGACGCCTCCCATCCAAGTCAGAAGCGGTGGGGGACTTGGTTCTCCCCCTTTTCCAGCTGTCACCGCTCCCCACCCCCGACCCTCACCCACACCCACACACGCACCCTAGCTAGCCTCTGCTCCGGCAGCTGTAACCCTACTCGCTCTCCAGGGCCACTCTCGGGCTCCACCTCCACCACCCTGGCCTTAAAGTGCGGTACCCCTCTCTTCCCCCCTTCCTCCTTAAGGGTCTGCCCTGGCTCTATCTCCTGGCCTTGGCCCCCTGGGCCCTCCCCATTTCGTTCTTGGTAGCAAACTTTGCGGTCCTGGGCCCTTTCTCCTCCTGGCCCCTTTGGCAAGCTTGGGCCGCAGGTGCCCGGGGCAGGGCGCAGGTGTGCAGCTGCTTACCTGGGGCGCGCAGGCCCGGGGGCTGCGGGGAGGCGGCGGGCTCGGCGCGTGGCCCGCGGGCCAGCGGACCCCGGGAGGGCACGAGTGTCTGCGCGAGCGGTGGGTGTGGCGCCCCGGCTGGCAGCTGGAAGGCGCCCCCGCCCCGTGCCGGCCCCGCCACTCGCTGTGACCGCGCCGTTTCCGTTGCCGCGCCATGCGCTCCAGGCTTCGGCCTCCGCTCCGGGCCCGTCCGGGGCCTCGGGGACAGTGGCACAGGGCACACGTCTTCGCGCCCGGGACCCTGGCGCCCCGCGACTGCTGAGAGCGGGGGCCGCGCGGGAGGGGCCGCGGGGCCGCGGGTGTGAGCGCGGGGAGCCCGGGAGCGCGGCTGTGCGCGCGCGCGGGGAGGGGCCGCGCCGTCACCCGGAGAGCCCGGCGGATCCCGGACTCCCGCCCGCCGCTCCGCCCGCCGCTCACCTCCGCTCACCGCTCGCCCGGCTCCAGCCGCCGCCGCACGGTGAGTACCCGCGTCCGGTCGCCTGCTGCCCCGGCGCCCTAACCCCACAGCTTTTTTCGTTTAGTTCCGATTTAGGTTCTTGTGGCTTTTAAAAAAAATTATACCTAAGGATTCTACCGCCTCACTCCCACCGCTGCCGGCCTTCCGCCTCGTCGCCCTTTCCAAGCTCACCCCTCCAGCCCTAGGAGCCGGCGAGGGCTCCCAAGCCTCCCTGGCCGCGGCTCCTTGTAGCTGTTAACTGGCCATTGCCCGGGCTTTCCGCTCTGGCCCTCGAAATTCGGTTCCTTTCCTAGGGCCCTCCTTCTCCTGACTCTGGGGCCCGGAGCCCTCTTCTCGCACTCGGGAAAACCCCTCGGGGACTTCAGACCCTCCGCTTGGGGAGGACTCGCTGCGCTCGGAGCGCTCCCTTCACTGCATGCGGGCAGGGCACACTTGCCGATTTCGGAAAACCGGGAAGACATCGTCATCTCCAGGAGCCGCGTCGCCCCCAGCCGCCTCCCCAGCCCGCCTGGGAGCTCTTCAGGGGGGTGCGGGGCTTGTCTTGCTGACCTCTCGGCCGGGGAGTTCGGATAGTGCTTTTGCGTCCTCAAATGTTACAAGGGACTTCAGTGAGAAACGAGGGTCAACTTGTTTCAATTCTATCCGCGGAGATACAGATGAAACAGACAGATACCAGATAAATAGCTTGATACTTGAAGAAGGTATGAAGACAGATGGGAGAAAGAGGAGCGAACTGGGAGAGACAGACAGCTCAGGGGCAGATAAGATCGACAGATAAGGGGCACGTACACAAATAGGGAGGGAGAGAGGCAGACCGGAGATCCCAGCCTCCTCGATAAAGGCTTTTCAACTCAGATCCCCTGTCCCGCTGGAGCTGTCCCCCCGAAAATGGATTTGCTGTCCCGGTGGGGTTTAGGGAAGGGGCCCTCAGGGTCGGGCTGCCTGGGCCTCAGGAGTGCCTGCAGCTATAGGCCGGTGGGAGCCTCCCGTGTCTGAGCACAGTTGCTGGGCCGGGAGACCTAGTGGGCCCCAATCATCAGTCCCGGGGTCTTCTCTCTCCGTTGAGTTCTGCAGGCGCTGCTGCCTCGGCCAGGGAGCAAAGCGCGGAACCAGTAGTAACTTTTGACCCAGTGTGATGATGGCTTCCAAGACCAGTCAGGATTCCTCTCAGCCCATGTGAGCTGGGACAGGCGGGCATGAAGGGCACTCAGAGAGAAGATGCCCCCCAAAAGAGGAAGCCCAGAGCCAGGAGAAACTGCATTTGACCTGAGCAACGAAAGGCATATGCGAAGGAGGAAAACGTAGGGAGTGGGAGGTTAGAAACGAAGGAAAAGTGGTTCCTGAGAAACTTCCTTGAGAACCTCTCCGTCCCACACACTGACCCGGACGCAAACCAGCTTTGGTCTGGAACGCAGCTAAATATGCTGAAAATATGGTTAGGATTGCATGACCCTGGTACCACTGATGGCTGGAAAGAAAACTGTTTATATTTCCATCCAGAATCTTTCTGCTCAACGAACGCGGGGCTCCGGGAGTGAGACAAGAAGCTCGGCTTTGTGGAAACCGGTGCTGTTTTCTTGGGAAGCCAGCTCGGCAAGGAGCTGGGTGCGGTGGGGGCCTCCCTGGGGCCGGGCGCGCGCGGCGTGCTTTGGAGAGTCCGGTTCAGCACCGCGAACAGCGGTCGCCTCAGCCTCTTCCCCCTCCCTCACCGCCCCATACCCTCCTCTTTCTCCTTTCCATCTGCACCCCCCCCGCCCCCTGCTGTCTAGAGACAGGCAGTGACCGCCCTTTCCCCCTCCCTACTCCTCCTGCGCTGCCCCCTCCCCCCGCCCGCCCGCGTGCATGCGCGACTGAGCAGAGGGGCAGCCTGTCCCCGAAGTCCGGGCTTCAGGACCCGGGCGGGTAGGGCAGGCTGAGAGGGTGGCCAAAGGCTCTCGGAACTGGGCGCTGGGAAGCCTGGGTTCGACAATGGCTTTGCTGTGTGGCCTTGGGCAAGTCACTCTCCGTCTCTGGGCCCCGCTTCCTCCCCAGTCCCAAAACAGAACTGAGTTCCTAGCAGCAGGGGCATTCCTGAAGTCTCGATTACCCACCTCCTCCTTCCCCGAACCCCGAGGGCTTTTGTTCTGGCGCCAGCACGCGTCTGAATAACAAAGGCGCCAGTCCAGGGGGCGAATGAGCTTGGACTCCCCGTGGCCAAGTTTTCCCCGCGCCCCACTCGGCGCGCCCCGCTGGGCGGGCCCGAACCGCGGTAGCGCTGAAAATGGCTCATCTGCTCTCTACTTTCTCTGTTTCGCAGGAGCGGCGGCATGGAGGCTCTCACCACTCAGCTGGGGCCGGGGCGCGAGGGCAACTCCTCACCCAACTCAAAGCAGGAGCTCCAACCCTATTCGGGCTCCAACGCTCTCAAACCCAACCAGGTGGGCGAGACGTCGCTGTACGGGGTGCCTATCGTGTCTCTGGTCATCGACGGCCAGGAGCGCCTGTGCCTGGCTCAGATCTCCAACACCCTCCTCAAGAACTACAGCTACAATGAGATACACAACCGCCGGGTGGCCCTGGGCATCACGTGCGTGCAGTGCACGCCGGTGCAGCTAGAGATTCTGCGTCGGGCCGGGGCCATGCCCATCTCGTCGCGTCGCTGTGGCATGATCACGAAGCGCGAGGCCGAACGCCTGTGCAAGTCGTTCTTGGGCGAGCACAAACCACCCAAGCTACCCGAGAACTTCGCGTTCGATGTGGTGCACGAGTGTGCGTGGGGCTCGCGTGGCAGCTTCATCCCCGCGCGTTACAACAGCTCGCGTGCCAAGTGCATCAAGTGCGGCTACTGCAGCATGTACTTCTCGCCTAACAAGTTCATCTTCCACTCACACCGCACACCCGACGCCAAGTATACGCAGCCCGACGCCGCCAACTTCAATTCCTGGCGCCGTCACCTCAAACTCAGTGATAAGTCGGCCACAGACGAACTAAGCCACGCTTGGGAGGACGTCAAGGCCATGTTCAATGGCGGCACGCGCAAGCGGACCTTCTCGCTGCAAGGAGGCGGCGGCGGCGGCTCTAACGGAGGGTCTGGTGGGCCAGGGAAGGGTGGTGCTGGTGGCGGCGGCGGCCCAGGGTGTGGCGCGGAGATGGCCCCAGGCCCGCCGCCCCACAAAAGCCTGCGCTGTGGCGAAGATGAGGCCACCGGGCCTCCTGGGGCGCCTCCTCCCCATCCGCAGAGGGGACTTGGTCTGCCAGCGGGAGCCGGCGGCCCCGCGGGCCCCGGAGCGCCTGGTGGCGGAGCCGGCGTACGCAGCTACCCAGTGATTCCAGTACCTAGTAAGGGGTTTGGCCTCTTGCAGAAACTGCCCCCGCCTCTTTTCCCTCATCCCTACGGCTTCCCCACAGCCTTCGGCCTCTGCCCCAAAAAGGACGACCCCGTGCTAGGCGCGGGTGAACCCAAGGGTGGCCCAGGCACCGGGAGCAGTGGGGGCGCGGGCACTGGCGGAGGCGCGGGTGGCCCAGGAACCGGTCACTTGCCCCCGGGGACCGGGGCTGGCCCGGGCGGCGGCGCCATGTTCTGGGGTCACCAACCCTCTGGGGCAGCCAAGGACGCAGCGGCCGTGGCTGCAGCTGCTGCTGCAGCCACTGTGTACCCGACGTTTCCCATGTTCTGGCCGGCGGCGGGCAGCCTCCCCGTGCCGCCCTATCCAGCTGCGCAGAGCCAAGCCAAGGCCGTGGCGGCCGCTGTAGCGGCAGCAGCGGCGGCGGCAGCGGCGGCCGCGGGTGGCGGCGGCCCCGAGTCCCTAGACGGTGCCGAGCCGACCAAGGAAGGCAGCCTGGGCGCAGAAGAGCGCTGTCCGAGCGCGCTGTCTCGCGGGCCGCTGGACGATGACTGCACGGACGACGCGCTGCCTCCTCCGCTGGCCCCGTTGCCCCCGCCCCCGCCGCCACCCGCACGCAAAGGCTCCTACGTCTCGGCCTTCCGGCCTGTGGTCAAGGACGCCGAGAGCATTGCCAAGCTCTATGGTAGCGCCCGGGACGCGTACGGCGCCGGGTCCGCTCGTGGGCCCGGACCCAACGCGGGGTCCGGAGGCGGCTACGTGAGCCCGGACTTTCTGAGCGAGGGCAGCTCCAGCTACCACTCCGCCTCACCCGACGTGGACACTGCGGACGAACCCGAGGTGGACGTGGAGTCCAACCGCTTCCCCGACGACGAGGGCGCCCCGGACGAGGCGGAGCCCGGCGTGCCCAGCGCGCCCAGCACCGGAGGCGGCCCAGACGGCGACCAGCCCGCAGGGCCCCCGTCTACCACGTCCTCAGGCGCTGACGGTCCCACAGACTCTCCCGACGGCGGCAGCCCTCGTCCCCGGCGACGACCGGGGCTACCCCCAGCCAGCCGGCCCGCCTTTGGGGACCTGGCGGCCGACGACCTAGTGAGGAGACCCGAGAGGAGCCCGCCGAGCAGTGGCTATGAGCTGCGAGAGCCTTGCGGGCCTCTGGGGGGCCCCGCGCCGGCCAAGGTGAGCTCGGCGCCTACCAGGCTGGTGGCGCCTTCCTTCTTACTCTTTGGGCACCTAGGGGATGTGGGGACAGGCTCTGGGCGGGTAGGACCCGGAAAATGTGTTCTGAGCGGACGTTCGAGCAGCAGGTTCCAGTTCCTCTGCGTAGGCCCAGCTCTGGGAGCTCCGGGGAGCTGGGCGTATTGATTGGAACCTCTTGAGGCGGTGGGGGGGGCGGCCTAAGAAATGGGTGTGCTGCGTTTTTGTTTATGTGAGTGGGGAGGAGATGCAGAGACTGTCAGTCACGCAGAGAAAGAGAGAAAGAAAAGATATTTGGAGGAAGAAAGCGGAGGAGAGAAAGGGACCCAAAGGCGGAAAAAAGCGCTCGCAAGACCGGGTCTGGAGCACAACCACGGGATGAGGATCAGAGCCCCGGGGGAAACGAATGGATAAGGAGAGAAGAGGGCGGCCTCCTCCCCAGCTGGGCTCCAGCAGTAAGGGGTCGCAGGAATGTACCTCCACCCCGATTCAGTTTCCCGTCTCTTCGAGCTTCCGCCTTGGGAACAGCAGTGTTCGTTAATAGGAAGCTGTAGAGAGAGTGCGGGGTGAGAGAGGGGCTCTCAGGGTGCCGGGCCGCGGTTTTGGTGCGGGGTACGCAGCTAAGCCGGAATCACTGACCATTTAAAAGTGGGTGCGCACACCTGTACATTTCCACTGTGTCCATTAAAACATGAGTCATTAGCCGGATACGAAAAGCGTCATTAATGTCGGGGATGTGGCGCGGGCGGGAGGGAAGATGCGGAAAATGAGTTGAGCGAAAAGACAGGGGAGGCTCCGGGGGCGCGGGTAGCGGATCTCCGCCACCACCCAACCCCCCAGCCTTGCTAGTACGCCCTGGCGCGGAGATGGGCGACCCCAGGCGCCCGCCCTAACCGCCCGTCATTTTCGGCCGCCGCAGGTGTACGCGCCAGAGCGGGACGAGCACGTGAAGAGCGCGGCGGCGGCGCCGGGGCCCGCGACCTCCTACCTCTGCACCCCCGAGGCCCACGGTAACGCCCCCAGCCCCCTGCCGAGTTCGCGGGCCGGTGTGAGGCGGGGACCGCAGGCAGAGGGCCGGGGCCCGGGGAGGCCTCCGAGGGACGGGGAGGGGAGAAAGAGACTGAGAAAGCGAGAGAAACGGGGGGAGGGAAAGAAAAATAATGAAAGAGAAGGGAAACTAAGCGAGAACTCCCAACAACTTCCAATGTTTGGCTGCTTAACAGTAAACTGCCCTCTTCACCACACATACACGCGCTCACGTGCACCACAAATACTGGGTGAAAACCTAAACATCACTCCTGGCATCCCCTTCAAGTTTTCTCATTTACTCAGCAAGTGTTTTTGGCTGAGAGTTCCCCCGTGGTCAGACCCGGGCGGCGAGTGGGGACGCTTGCTCGCGCGGTTGGGTGGTACCCCTGAAGCGCCTCTGCAGCTGCGGCACAACGCGGGAGGAGGCCCCGCATATGAGCGCGGGATCCAGGGGTTCATAGATCAGGGCTGAGGGCCTCGGAAATCTGGGCAGGCTGAGTCCACGATGTCTCGCCGCCACCACCACCCCGTGGGCCGCAGCCTGGGCCACGTTCTCTGGGGGAGCTGCGCAGGCGGACCGAGCGGCCACGCGCGCCCGCGATGTCCCAGTATCTGCGCGCGATGTAGGTCGCCCGTCCCTGGTGAGCTCCGCCGTTCGTCTCTTGTTCTTTTCCGAGGGGCTGGAGATGGGGCCTGGGGCTCGAGATGAGCAGAGCGCGCGCGGGGGAGGGGGGCTGGCCCAAAGCCTGGGGGTGCGAGCCCAGGCACACAGCCGGGAACCATCGGCGGACGCAACGCTTTTAATTAGGGCTCTGGCGCCCCGACGGTGGCAGCTCTGGCCGTATCGGGGTCACGGTTTCTTTGGCTCTCCTTGAAACTCAGTTTATTGCCTTTAAGAACCAGATAAGGAAGACAATCACTCGACCGCCGATGATTTGGAAACGAGGAAATCCTATCCAGACCAAAGGAGTATCTCCCAACCAAGTCCTGCAAATACAGACCGAGGTGAGCCCCAGGACCCTCGCGCACCACCCCCCACGCGGGTGCTAGGGCCCAGGTCGCCCAGGTTCCCACCCTCTTTGGCTTGCGATCAAGTGTGAGCGGCTGCCGGCTCCCTTGTGTGGCTGATAGATACATATTTAAACAGCGCGCGTGCGGGTGCAGACCAGGTTTCCTGAGTTGCTCCTTCCTGGTGGGTTTTGGGCCTCTTCCGGGTAAGGGAAGGGGGCGGGCATACTAGAAGGAAATGAGGGACACCATCACCCACACGAAACAGGTCAAAGGGCACTTCCCGCCCTAAAATGGCCTATCTTCTCTGGGTCACTCTCTAAAATGATAGTTACACTCCTGAAAGGATGACTCGAAAGGTAGGTAGTACTGGAGGCCTCTAACTGTCTCTTCTAAAGGCAGAGGATCTGGAGTAGGTCCCTGACTTAGAAAATTCCCGCAAACCTCAGCTCTCCCCTCCCAAGGCTTCTTCCAGGACAGAACTCTGCTTACCTGCCCTCGTTTCCCAGGTGAAGATGGGCTTACCCTGGATGTCACTGGAACTCAGCTTGTGGAGAAAGATATCGAGAACTTGGCCAGAGGTGAGGTTAAATCTGTAAAATTGGGGTATATTGCGCCTGGGGGAGATTGGGCCGTTCTTGTAGAGGGGTGTTATTCCCACAGGAGTCAGTGTGAGATGGAGAACCAGTTTCAGTGGGTAAAAAGTATAATCCCCTGGACACATTATACTGGCACAGAGGTGTGTGTGCATAGTGGGTGGGGAGAGTGAACCAAACCCTCCCAAGAGATTCACTGGAGTTTGGGTTCCCAAAGCTGGGCCTGTCTGATTACTGAGAAAGAAATGAATAAAGATCCTCAGAACTTGATGCATGTGAACAGCAGACAGGCAGTCTGGGTCTCCCAACCTTGCTGGAAAAACATGACTTTTTCTTAATAGCAAGATTGCAAGGAGGCACTCAATTTAGGAAAGTCTGAGAGTTTATTTTTTTCCCCTGGAATTAATGCATGACCGTCTTATCCCACCCTAAATGTGGTGAAGATGGAGCTTGGTTTTAGAATGGAATCCTGGGGTTGCTGCTTAGCCTGCAAGGGGAGAGAGTGGCTTGAGGAGTAGAGGAAGGGAGCCTGTAACTGCACTTTGCTCCTCTGCCTCCCATTCTTGGGTTTTCTCAGCAGCTACTAGGGGTAGGATTTCTCAGCTTCCCCTGGAGGAGGACCCACATACCAATAGCTCTGTAGTCAGGGCAGCTCCCTGCTACCCTTCTGGGGCTGGTTTCTGACGGCACTAATGGGGCTTTCCACACCCACCTGCTCTCCCACCTCAAACCAGCCCAGGGATGGGCATGGAAACTGGTGTGGGGAGGCAGAGAAGCACTGGTGGTCTTCCACTCTTCCCAGTTACAGATTTTATAGGATGTGCAATTACATTGAAAATCATTGGTACTTTATATGAGGGTTGTTAGCATGGATCTGGAGTTCTGGAATCTCCTGAAATTGTCAACTGTTGTGAGTACATGTATTTTTCCAGGGTAGGGGCCAAGACTCTAACCAGATTCCCCCTGCTCTGTATTTTTGGAGGAAGGGATTAGGTCTGTCATTTGAAGGGATAAATCAAGTGTTTCTGCACCAGCCTCTAAGGTTAGGGAGTTAGGAAAACTTAAAGCAGATGCCATACCGGTTAGTGCCTGGAGTCAGGGCCTAGAAGTTCAACATTTGTTCTACCACCCTGAATTTCATTCTTCTGGGCAACCTTTCTCCTAGTCTTTTTCCTTCACCCAAATCTTTTGGATGCAAATAGTCAACAGAGCTGAGGGCCTGTACCTCCCTGCCCCACCTTCCCCAGCTCCCATCTCAGGGCTGTCAGTCAGGGCATGACCTGCAGGACCTTTGGGGCCCTTGAGTCCTGCACACCCTGCTTCTTTACCTCCCTTTTTCTCCCCTTCACAGACGAATTGCAAAAACTGCTCCTGGAGCAAATGGATCTCCGCAAAAAACTGGAGCGAGAATTTCAGAGTCTCAAAGGTACCCCCATGCAGACCCACCCTACCCCACCTCACCTCATCACCAGAGCCTTCTGGCACACCCCAGGCTGGCTCTGGGGACCCCAACGCAGACAGCTGCGCCCCTGTGGGAGCCACTGTTCCCTCCTTTTCCGGGATTCCCCGCTAGGCCAGAGACTGATGGGGTGGAGGTGGGGTGGGGAGTGGGGAAATGGGGCCGAGGGAGGGGCTGTGCGTAACAGCTCTCAATCAATTTGCGCAGATAATTTTCAGGATCAAATGAAGAGGGAATTGGCTTATCGAGAAGAAATGGTGCAACAGCTGCAAATTGTCAGAGGTAAGACGGGAGTCAGGTGAGTGCCTGCATGGGCCTTAACTGCCTCTCGTCTGGCAGGAGCCGCAATGTTGGCTCAGCCATTTGGATTTAAATTGAAGGTAATTTAACAATTATTTTTTTTATTTAATATCCTTTGTATACTCTGATTAGCCTCAGAATGGCAAGCGAGCCCAGCAAACGGCTTGCAGGCATCATTACATGGAGTGATTGAACTTCTTATCGCGGCAATTTCCATGGTTTCTAAATTAAAAATCGAGGCGTAAAATTACCTGGGAAGTAATGCCTAAGTTTGCTTTAATTTTGGTAGATCCGTCTGCCTTTAAGCGCCGTCCCAGGCCATTTCCTCCCTCCGTCAGGCTGCAGTTCGGAGCGCTGACACCCCCTCCCTCAGTCCCTTGGACTCGTTTCTGCGAGGGGCTGAGCGCTGAGGAAGGGTGAGGCCCAGGCTGTGACCCCGGCTGGCTGGAGAGTGGTCTCATTTCCTTACCGGTCCCTCCCTATGTCTTCCAGACACTCTGTGTAACGAACTTGACCAAGAGCGGAAGGCGCGCTATGCCATCCAGCAGAAATTAAAAGGTGCGATGCTGGGGGAACAAAGATAGGGGTGCCAGGAGCTGGCTATGCCGGCATATGGATGGACGGATGGATGGATGAATGAATGAATGAATGAATGAGAATGTTGGGGCTAGTGAAAGAGGAAAGCCAGGTCTATGTGGATCAAGCTGAAAGGAGGGAAATGAGAGTTGATTTTAATGGGGAAATGATTCTAGAACAGTGGGATAGGGGGAAAGAGACCCTTGAGCTCTGGACATTGGGAAATCTGCCTGAGGTCCAAATCTGGCCTTGGGCAGATCACCCTCCCTCTTCCTGTGCCTCAGTTTCCTCTTCTATAAAATGGAACTATTGAACAAGAGCAGGGGTTGTGAATCACCAGGATGTCTCTCCTGCCCTCCTACCTTCCTCTGATCCTCTTGCTTGAGAACCCATGCGCCCAAAGGGGGTGGGTGAGGCTCCGGCGGGCATTTAGGGGGCAAGGGAGGCCAGGCAGGCGAGGCGCCCAACGTGGCCCGCCCGACTGTCTCTCCAGAAGCCCATGACGCCCTGCACCACTTCTCCTGCAAGATGCTGACGCCCCGTCATTGCACCGGCAACTGCTCCTTCAAGCCCCCGCTGTTGCCCTAGGGCCGGCCCGGCTGCGCCCACGCGCCCTCAAGCCATGCTGCTCTCTTCCTGTAAATACCCACGGCCGCGGCGGCCCAGAGCGAGGAACAAGCCATTCGGACCGGACCGTTGTAAATACAGCTTCCCGCCCGTCCGCCCTCCTCCGGGGCGCCACAAGCCCATGGCCCTGCCTCTGTTTCCAAGTGTAAATAACCACCTCGCCCTACGGTTGAACTCCCGGGCATCGGACCTCAAGGGGTTAACTGGACCGAAGAGGGTAAGAAAGGGGAGAGAGAGAGTCTCTCCACACACTGTCCCACCTCCGTACAGCCTCGGACCCCTAATTTGAATACAATGTAGCAACTTCGCTGGCGCTGACCCCCACCCCCAACCCCGCTCCCCTATCCCGTCCACTTCTGAAACTTGTTCCTAACGACAGTGGCTATGTGCAATGGATATAAATGTACTGTGAGTCTCCTGGTTCAGTATTGGGTTCACTTTAATTTATTTACGTTGTTTACGTTATTTTGCTCTCTTCTTTTGTACTTACTTCCAGTCCCCTTCTGCATTCCCTTTTGGGTTTTGCTTTGTCTATTTTTGTTGTAACCTGTTGATATAACAGCACTTTAAAAAAGGGCAACAACTGACTCACAAGATGGAGACCACCTTGAGCCTGTTTGGGAAACCACTCTGTATCAGTGACTTTTGTTTTTAACAATAAAGAGAAATTCTATCACTTCCTGGGGCTGTGGAGGTGGGAGTGAGGCAGGTGGGAAAGGAGGCTGGGCAGAGACATGCTGAGGATTGCACAACAATTGGGGCATGGGGACCACAGCGCCAGTTCTGGGGCGCCTGCTGAGAATTGCACCCGCTCAGGTGGGTAGCAGCTGGCACCCTGACCTCTGCCCCGGCCCTTCAGACATACCCAGCTTGCCCCACGGGCCATCCCCTCCTCATTTCTAGCACTGTCGCCTGGGCCTCTGCCCAGGGAACGAGGTCTATGGCTTGGTCCTTGACGCCGTGTTGCCTGAACGCTTCCCTGTGTGGTCCCTAGGGGCCGAGAGTTATTCGTGCCCACCCCACTGGGGAAGTCATCCCCAGGCCTTCAGAGAAGGGACGCTGTTTTCCTGACAATTTGCACGGCACCGTTCCCAGAATGCCAAGTTCAGCCAGAATTGCTAGAAGGCGCAGGCATCACCCGCCTTGCCCTGGAGCACTGGGGCACGGGGGAGGCGAGATATTTTTGATGGACCTCGGCGGGCAGGCCTGGAAAGGAAGGGCGTGACTCAGCGCTGGTGCTCGGATGCTCTCCCGCCAGCCCCGGCGCTACCGACCGGAGGTTTTTATGTTCCGTCCAGTTTAGTTCGAGCGGGTTTGTGGATGTGAAGGAGCCCAAGAAGAAAGGTGAGGCCGCTGCAGTCCAGGGCGCCTCCCCGGGGTCGTGCGGGAAGAGCGTGCTCCCCGGCGGCGGCGGTGGTAGAGGCCTCACATTGCCGCAGGCCTCGCGGCGGCCTGTTTCCGCAGCGCATCTGCTGGTCCGGCTACAGATAAAGGAGGGAAACGGCGGCGCCCCTTTTGGAGGGGGAGGAGAGTGTGGCTGGAGTGGGAAATGTCGCCGTACAGGGAATCAGTCAGCTCTGGCTTTCAGTTTTACCCCCCTGGGCTGACTAGTAGGGGTGCTGTGTCGCGCCCTGGATTATTCCTAGGCCAATGTTCCGTCCTATGTAAAATAATACTCAGGCCTCGCTTTCCGGGGTGCATGGAAGCTTCCCTGGAAGGGAAGCAGAGCGCAGGGTAGCGGTCCTCCGCCAGGACCAGCGCCTCGACGACCCGCTCCTTCCACAAGGCTCTCACTGCGCGTCTTGGGAGGACCTGGGGAGCCCCAGGCGGGGACGCTGGAGGGTGCTCCGGCCGGGAAGTTTCACGGTGGGTGGGCTGGAGGGCCCGAGGCGGGGCCGGCGCGCAGGGGGCGTGCTCTGGACCGCCCAAAAGGGGCGCCAGCCGGAGACCGCTGCGCGGTGAAGGCAGGAAGCCAGTCCCCAGAGCATCCTGAGCTCAGGCTTGCAGCCCTCAAGTCCTGGGATACTGCGAGGCCAGACACAGGAAATGAGAGACAGTGGTGAGGGCGCCAGGTAACCTGTGACGCTTCACCAAGGGTTAAAGTCACCACAGGACGCGCGATCTTCCTGCCGGAACCCTCTGAGAAGCAGGACCGTTTCCTCTGGTGGAACCAAGTCAGTTCTCCACTGTACCACTGGTGAAACGGGTCCAGAGCGGGAGTGACTTGCGTCTGCATAGCGTGCCAGGGACTAGCGGAGCTGGGACCCGGCAGGCAGCGCAGGGGTGGCAGTGCACGCACCTTTGCCCCTCCGCGCAGCCGCAGCTCTGCAAGCCGCGTTTCCTTTTCTGTAAAATGGAAATAGCAGTTGGTGCTCAGACACGAAGTTCCGTGGCTGCGACCCACACAGAGGAGCCTGACAAATACTCCTTTCCACCTTTCCTTTCCGAATTCCCCAAAGCGGAGCAAAAAGCCGTAGGCAGCTGGGGCCCACCGGAAAGGGCGCCCCATCTGGACAGGAATCTCTGAAGATTGGAGGTGTAGGCGGATCTGACCCAGAAAGCTCTGTGGCAAAAATCCTATTGGGCTCTGCGTCCCTTCAGAAGTGGTTTGTTCCCCCCCCCCGCAAATGTTAATAACCAAACGATTGGTATGGATGTAATTATCAATAATTATACGAATTATTGCTGATTGCGGGGCTCGTAGCTACTTTAATTAGTTTACCAGATTCTAATTAAGTTAAATGAAACATTAATAGGGAAAATATGCTTTAAAAAAAAACACAGGATTTTTTTGTCTGTTTCTTACCACAATGTTGCCACCTTGTGACAGATTTTAAGCATTGCAGTCAATGTACGAAGGCCCCAGACTAGTCACTCACTGCCTTGTCTTAGAAAAAGTGGGGTTCGAGGAATAGGGAACGGGCTGTGGGGCACAGAATGTCCTCCCGCCTGCTCTTTTGAGGTGTTTGATTCCACACTCCTTACCCCCGCTGTGCCCATAGGAGGTGTTGGAAGGTAAAAAGGGTAAATAAAGTCTTGGAGGGCAAAGAACCAGGTAAACATGCCCCTTAGACCTGAAACTATTTTTTTCCGGCACAGGAACTCCGGACCCTTCATAGAGGGATGCGGTGGGAGAGGTGGTCTTTATTCTCTCCCATCCCAGCAAATCCAGAATGAGAAGCTGAGCGAAGCTGGAAGCAGAATCAGGTTGCTTGATTTTTTTTTTCTTTTCATTCCCTGGGAAGAAATCTCCATCCATTTGCTCTGCAAATCAGAGTAACCTGTTAGCAAAAGACACCAGGAAGACCCTTGGATTCCTGGGACTAACCTCCGTGTTCCTGTGGCTCTTGGTTCCTGAGGCTAACAGGGCACTCGTTTCCCCGAATTATTCTTGATTCTGTGTGTCTGTTTCACACATCTTGCTCTTCCTTGTGTTTTCCAACACAAAGCCCAGTCAACAGATGTCTAGATAAATGCATTCCAATTTTGTGGTTCATCTGGGTGCTGGAAATGTCTGAGGAAAGGAATCCTAGATGCTCTGGACAACAGCTATTGAGAAACAAATCATTTGCATAATGTTAATTAAGCAAAGGCTTGGGGCTCAGAGGATCCTTCATCAATAGGATTATTTTGGGGGGTCAGGTATCAGTTAAGTGATTGTCAACCTATAACAGGAAAACTTTCTTCCTTTTCCAATTGTGTCCCAAGAAGGGCACTCACTGGGCACATATCTACCCATCTATTCCCAGCTGCTCTGATCTAAAGTAAGCCTTGATCTTTTCCAAAAATTCGACTCCTGTCCTTGAATTCAGAATAAAAACAAAAGCAGACCTGGACTTGTATGCTCTTTCCATTAATTCTAAACAGCTTTATCTCCTACTCTCATTTAAAAGCACAAACTCTATAGCTAGATTTCCTGGGTCACAATTTTCTCTTCACTAGTTGTGTGACATTGGACAATTTGTTGAATCTCTCTGTGCCTCAGTTTTCTCATCTAAAACATAAAGGGAGGAAAGGATACCTACTTCATAGAACTGTGCAGAGCCAGGAACTCAGCCAAGTCTCCGGCTTTTCAAGACTAGGAATCGCTTGTCTTTCCTAATTTCTGCTTTCAGACAATGGTCATGCCAAGAAGAACGACAAAGCTTCTTTAGAAGGAAAGAGAGTCACACCAACACTTGGTCTTTTCCTTGTTTGACATCCCAAAGGGAAACATTTAAAACTACTCACCCAATAGCCCAAGTAGCCTCCAAAGAACCAGGCATCTCTGGGAGAAGAAGGAAAAACCAGTTTGTCCTGTAACTCCATGCATTAGAGGCCGTAAGCCAAAGAAAAGGCGCAATGAGAGGTCCCACAGACCCCTATTCTCGGCTTGTTACCAGGAAAGGATCATTTTACCTCCACTTAAGGGAGCAGAAATGGATCCCTGATGCAACGCTGCTCGGCAGCTCCTAGCACCCGCGGGGAGAGGTTCCGCCGCTGCCCTGGGGTGGCCGTGGAGCTCAGCCACTGCCTGCCCTCCCAAACTATGGAGAGCATAGAGCCTGGGAGCTGAACGGCCGCTGGAGGCAGACGGACTGGGCTTCCAGCCGCTGCAGAGACCGCCAGGAGGAATACGTGTATACTCCGGCACCAGCAAAGCATATGCACCAGTATTTTTCTCCTGGAAATAAACTAGTTATTTTAAAACACATTGACAAAGTCATCACGGGAAATCTGAACTTTGTTGGACTTTTTTTTTTCTCTTCTCTTATTAATTAGGACTTTGCTTTTTGCGACTGAATTATCTGGGGGCAGAGCCCCGCATCTTTTCAGTGTCTATGCCTCCTCTAAAGAGCTTACCAGGCCTTGCCTCACGCCCAGGTTGCTTTACTTCTTGGCGTCTTCTGTAAAATAAAACGTGACAATAATACCCACAAGGCAGGGCTGTCAGGAATATTAAAATGACATATTGGTGGAGCCCCTGGCACATGGTAGGTGCTCAATAAGGAGTGGGCTTTTTTTTTTTTTTAAGGATTCCAAGGCAGCATGAGGGCTCAGTCTTGCTGTAAGTTCCTGTCTTAGTGCACCTTTCGTTTATCGTAGCACTGAAGTCCTGTTATGTTTTGGACCAGAAATGGATCAACTTTGGCAAGGCCCTTCCCCTAAGTGTAAGGTACTGTACAACTCAGGATAGTGAGAAGGAAGCAGAATCAAGATGGAGAAGATCTAAAACTGGGGGCTCGAGGACTACATATAAAAAGCACAGCAAAGAGATGAATCTAACCACACCCTGCATCCTTATTCCATATTCTGGGTTTAGTTTCCTTTGTTTCAAAAGGCATGACCCGTAGTTGGAATCCGCTGGCATACTTAATGCAAACTGTGTGTGGGGTAGACACAAATGCAAAAATATGGAACGCTTCACGAATTTGCGTGTCATCCTTGCGCAGGGGCCATGCTAATCTTCTCTGTATCGTTCCAATTTTAGTATATGTGCTGCCGAAGCGAGCACGATGTTTAAGGGTTCACATGAAATATATAAGGACAAAAATCTCAAAGCTTTCTCAGTTACGGTGATTATGCCGTCCACTTTTAAATATTCCAAAATACTCAGGAAGTCATGACCTCTGTGTTATACATACTGTAATTGCATCTTTGTGATTACAGCCAGGCTAAATCTAATTGCTAACTTTCTTACATTGTATATGCAAATGAAGGGACCATGGGAAATTGGCCCTCTGCCCGCGCGACCTCTGCGCGCTTCCCCCGGCAACGCCAGCAGTCACGCTCGGTCACGTGGCGCGCGCCGCCCGAGCACCTCCCCTACGCGGACAAAGGTGGGCGAGGAGGGCTCCGGCCTGGACTCCTCGCTGGGCTCCGCGCGGGGGAACGCGGCAGCACAGTGGCCCCAGAAACAAGGTGGGGCGTGTACGCGTCGCGACTGGAGTTTTGAGGCGAGGAGTCATGGTGTCCATGAGGATAACACAGAAGTCCCGTCAGGGACCCCGAAACAGCTGTGAGCCGCTTTCCTCGCGCCGTGACCCGAGCGCGGGCCAAGCTCCCGATCCTGAACGGGGCTGAACCACCTCGCGGCGGGCCAGGGCGCATCGCCGCTTTCCCGAGGGTTGTCAGGACCAGCGCCTGCCCTTGAAGCCAAGGGGAAGAGGGAGGGTGTCCATTTGGGGACCAGGCTTTACAAAGTGTGACTTGTAGGTGGTGGCAGCCTGGGAAAGGTCACCACCGTTTGCTCTAGCGCCGGGCCAGGCACTTAACTTGATTGATGCTCTTTCCCCCAGTTTGCAGGTTAGAAAACTGAGGCTCCAGTTGGTTAAACTTTCGAGGCCAGTAGTGAACAAAGTTGGGGTTTGGATGCAAATTTGGTTTCAAAGACTGATCTTTTCCTCTTCACAGTGGAACTCGGAAAAGCTTTGAGGCCAGGAGTGCTGCCTACGCTTCCCTCTACTCCCAAGACCTTAGCAGCTCAGACTTTCCTTTCTGCATTTAGTCCTTCACCAAATAGCGTCAGCGCTGGGGCTGCAGGATGAGCAAGTGGCTAGGTTGCTGTGGTCCTGGCTGTTCCGTGCCAGCAAGCAGGCCAGACAAATATGGAGGAGCATTCTCAGTGCAAAGACAGACTAGAAAGGAAGAACATGGGGGACAGAGAGTGACTAGCATGAAGGCCACTTAAGTGGGTGGGCAGGAGAGGAGGAGACATTTGAGCTGTCACTTGGTACAGATGCAGCCCTGTGAGGACAGGACAGAGAGTTAGTTCAAGGCAGGGGAAGACTTTGGAGCCACCAAGGTCAGCTTCACCCATCTGGGCCAGTCCTTCAGGGGAGGCCACTGTGGAGGTAGGTAGTGCTCCGGGCTTTGCTTTGGCACAGTCAGTGAGCACCTTGGCTTGGCCTTAGGGGACTTTGGACCCCTTTCCCCCCACCTGTGTTCAGTAAAACGGCAATTAAGTGTAGGCTGTCCAACTTCTCATCTGACCTCTCTCTAAATAAGCAGTAAGCAAATATAAACCTCAGAATGCTAATATGGTCTTAATTGAGCAACAAGAGCTAATTTGGGCAATGATGTTTCCCTCAGATTTACAAAAGGGAATTGCAAATAACCAAAAGGCGTATTAGCATTGATGGGAGATAATGCTAATCTTCAATTAGCATCTACGTTTTTATTCATTTATTTAGAAAGCCTTTTCGACACAGTCGATGTGCACACACATCACGGTGACAGGTGCATCTTGTGGGTTCCATAGCTGCCTTATTGCAGGAACCAGCAGGCATTGGACCAGGTTATTCATTTCTGGTTACAGAAGCATGTGTTATTTTGAGTGAGGAGTGGGGTTTTTTGTTTGTTGATGTTTTCTTATTGAGCAATTGTGGTACAGAGGGGAGAGAGCTAGTTCCCATCCTCCCTGTCTTTGTGACCTTGGCCAACTCCCTTGACCTCTCTGGTTCTGTTTTATCTTCTGCAAGGTGAGAAAAACTGCTCTAGATATAATCTTTAACATCTCTTTCAGCTTTGACATACTGTGATTTTTGTAACCGAGTACTGAAGGATGTATTTGAGATTATAGTTAGCAAGATGTAAAAATTCAATACTATCTTTGTTTTCTACTTTAGCAGGGTGGAGAATGCTGGTCATCCTTTGGGATGTGACTAGCATGAAGGCCACTCAAGTGGGTGGACAGGAAAGGAGGGGACATTTGAGTTGTCACTTGGTGCAGATGCAGCCCTGTGAGGACAGGGCAGAGAGTCAGTATGCAGGGGCTGTTGTGGACCTAGGGTTTGGGCCCTGCTGAACCATGCCACTTGCCCAGCATGGAGAAAGGAGGAAGGGGGAGAGAGGCAGGGATGGATTGAATGTGGCATGAAGCTGGAGGAGAGGAGAAACATGGAGGGACTCAGTAAGGGGAGAGCCACAGGGATTATGCCCCTACCGCCTCCAAGGGAACAGACACGAAGGTGAGGAGGCTGATGGGTGCCAGAGAGGACTGGTATTGGTTAGCCGTCTCAGAGCTGCAGTGGAAGGCCAGTTCCTGCCCACCATCAGAGCTTTGGCTTCTCCCCGTTCTGCAGACCTGAGGTGGCCCACGTCTCGACAGTCTTCCATTAATGCCCTGGGTTGCAGAACCCCAAGAGATGAGCAGTCCCCCAATTCTGTCTGAGGTGGAACTTCCTACCACCCTGAGTAGGAGAGAACAGAGGCAGCTTTAATTTTATTTTTTTTAATTGAGGAAAATTGGTATATAACACTATATTAGTTTTAGATGTACAAGATAATAACTTGATCTTTGTATACACTACAAGTGATCACCACAGTCACAAGTCTAGTTACCAACATCACTATACAATAGATCCCCTTCACCCGTTTCATCCACCCATCCAGCCCCCTTCCCATCAGATAACCAGAATCTATTTTCAATACCTATGAGTTTTGTTTTGTTTATTTATTTTTTTATATTCCACATATAAGTAAAATCATATTGTCTGTCTTTGTCTGACATTTCACTTAGCACAATACCCTTTAGGACCATCCATCCTGTCCCAAATGGCAAGTTTTATTTCTTTTTTATGACTGAGTAGTATTTCATTGTGTGTGTGAGTGTGTGTGTGTGTGTGTGCGTGTGCGTGCACATATACCACATCTTTATCCATTCATCCATTGATAGATGCTTAGGTTGTTTCCATACCTTGGCTATTGCAAGTAATGTTGCAGTGAATGTAGGGGTGTATATGTCTTTTAATTAGTGTTTTTGTTTTCTTTGGATACCTAGAAATGAAACTACTGGATCATATGGTATTTCTATTTTTAATTTTTTGAGGAGCCTCCATACTTTTTTTCCACAGTGGCTGTGCCAAGTCCCACCAACAGTGTAGGAGGGCTCCCTTTTCTCCACATCCTTGCCAACACTTGTTATTCTTGTCTTTTTGATAACAGACATTCTGACTGGTGTGAGGTAATATCTCATTGTGGTTTTGATTTGCATTTCCCTGATGGTTAGTGACAGTGAAGCTTTTTTCATGTTCCTGTTTGGCCATCCATACGTTTTCTTGGGAAAAATGTCTATTTAGATCCTCTGCCCATTTTTTAATTGGATTTTTTTTTTTTTTTTTTTTTTTTTTTTTTTTTTTGTTTTTTTTTTTTTTTTTTTTTTTTTTTTTTTTTTTTT